TCTGGGCTAGTACCATTGTCAAATTCTGGGGAATACAGGACTATTTATATGGGAGACGTTACAATAAGGAACTATTAAAATTGTTTGATTTGCATATCAAAATCCTTTATTGGAACAGAGCATGTTCTATATTTACCAAAAAACAAAGTTATTATGTTTCTAGACACACAACAGACTCGAAACAATAGAAACCGTCCGATCCGAGCGACCTGCGTTCTTGAAAATCGAGTCTTATCGCCCTTGCGTTTGCGAGCAAAAAAATGTTTAGGCCAAAAACGACCGATTTTCGCCCAATCTTATATGAATTTTTCATAATTCAGCTAATTCAGTCCAGCGGTTAGATAGAGTATTTATTATAGACGCCCAGAGAACCAAAATTTGGGACGTGAATCGCTCCGGCGACAAAAAATCTGCGAAAACAGATATATATAGGGTATATAATAACGCGTCATGAGATCAAGACAACAATCGGTGTTTTAACGTAGTATGTGCGCTAGTTCGAATCGAGTTGTTTATTGTATCTGACGTCACGCGTCCTTGCATATATAATAATAATATACCGGGACATTGATAGCTATTTCTGAATATCCAAAGATAAGGTTATCTCAAACATTATAGTGGATATTGATAGCCAATATTCTATCAATATCACCGATATCATTCTACTGTATATGTATAAGCGTAGAAATTAATGCAACTAGCACATGTTCATTTCCCCCGTGGGCACATTAAAGTAATACCCACACGGTACTGACATCGTTTGGTGTATGCTCATGTTGAACTGTTGCACATACGCAATCCTTTAATTTGCTGATATTTTTGGTTTGTTTCGAATTCATACCCTTCCCCAAATGTGCTAAATTCCCACCTAACGGACATTGTTAACGTGCAAATAATAAGTCGTTCGTTTAGACACTTAAAGCCAAACCTTGCGTGTTGATTTGAGATTTGTGACATCTCGGTCATATGGGCGGGCGCCATGGTAACTCGCTCAACTACAATTTCGATATTAAATACATAACCTGGCAACTTGCATATCTTGCATATGTGTGTTGGTGGCTTGATAGATACGTATTTGTACATACGGCATCAAACTAATGAAATATAATTAAACTGTGTTCTATAAAAACTGTACATGTGTGAAGGAGACATCGAAACAAGAAATGGGTTTCTTGCATACCTTAGCTCCTCAGACAGCATTGTAAAACACTAAATTGTCCTTGTATTTATGCTAATGGAGAAAGTACTCCCGAATTCAATTAAACGTTATCTGTTTCAGACAACTATCCCAATTCCGTTGGTATTACAGAGAGCGTGGAGAATAAATACATACATGAACGTATGGTGATAATACAATACTCACATACGTTCCGCCCAATTCCTCTCTCATGGGCAGAAAAAAAACAAATCAATGTTACTATGGAAACGGGAAGCGTCAGAAACATGCAGATTGTCTCTGTTGGTCTATATTTTGACGCGTAATCAACAGGGACTGCAACGTGTTTCCTTGATATAACCAGATTGGAAAACTGGTAAATAATTAATTGCCATATTTATTCCGTGCATATCAGAGATAAGGGGAAAGATACCTGAGGCCAATGCTGTCTCATCCCGACGCCATATCCATATCAATGTAATGTGAGGTTTCAATCATTTGACTGTTTATCACTAATACATTTGTTTCTCATTGCGATGTTTGCACAATTTGATGAACTATTATTGACCATACAGTTTTTAGGCGAGTTTTATCAAGTAATTATGGTGAAAGTGTTTCTTCGCATCAAATGCAAGGGGGATTACAGTGGTCTTAGTGTATGTGGGCGTATTTTGTATTCGGAAAATGTAGTGCAATGAAACATTTGACAAATACATTTAAACCCATACTTTGATAAATAACGCCCGATGGGACTAGGACTCCGAATGCGTATACTATATTAACAGTGATTTAGGTACTACACGGTAAAGCATATATATTAGCAATATTCTCACCCAAAGGGAAATGGCTAATGAAAATAAAAGGGATAGTCAAAAAGGAAAAGTTTCAATTGAGACTAATGTTCAAGTTATTAGCGTTAGAACATACCCCACTATGATTTGCATAATATGCTAATGACTATGACTCGAATGAACAACTCTTAAATGTTACACACTCCTCGTGAGAACATATTCGAATTTTAAATCTATGGTGTGTTCTGTAATTTGGTTATTGTCAGAAAACCTGGACTGAAGGTGAGAATAAATGAGAGTATTCGTAGAAGTATGGAATAAAAGCGAAAATATACAGAAATGCGTGGGATCAAAGATTGTTTTCACATGCGCCGTTGTGACGTAGCATGTACATGGACCAACATTAAAAGGCGGTGGTCGTCGCGCAGCGCGTGTTGAAATTTCATGTAAACAAACAATGTATTTCCCACTCATAGTTGCTGTCGACATAGGAAGTAAAGTAAGCAAATAACATAGACATAGTCTTTACCTTGCTGTTTATTCGGTGTTATTTGCTTACTTAATGTATTTCCCACGCGTTCTGTGCGTCGCTATGAGACCCATATCGAACAGGACGCGATGCGACGACCACTGCCCTTTAAATTGTATCGATTGAGAGCAACAAAAGAATATATATCTATTAGTCTAGAGACTTTGATGTTAATATTTTTTTTTGTATTTTTTTGTTATTATTTGTGTGCCATTGATGACCTCATCACTACATGTGTACCCATCACTACCGGACTTTTTATCACCTTTCCTTTGTGTTTCCCACCAAGTAATTGAGTATGTACAAA